TGAATTTCGCATAGTTTCTCTGCCATTTACGCTCCGTAATATTTAAGCGAAACTTCCCCTCCCCAATACATTTTGCTGGATAGGCCACTGTTGGGTTGCTGAGTGCTAACAGTGGCACTTGACCGAAATATGTTGCTAAGCACTCTTTCTCAAACCTGTCTGGCATATAAGTAGCGCCTGTCATAATTGGACTAACAATTTCATGCAACGGTTAGGCCGCTGACTTCGAGTGTGTTGTAACTGTGTACCAAATACGTGCTCTTATTTTGAAAGGAATTAACTGTTTAAACTGGCGTGGCAATTATATTGTTTTATAGGTTAGTTCCTTCGGAACGTGTTTGTAGAATCTTTCGTATCGAACCACGATTATAAAAAAAAATATAAAATTGCCTCGCCTGGTATAAAAGCAAAAACACAAAGTACAATTGGGGGCGCTACTGGTACGCGCGTTTCGTGGTTGTCTCTGTTCTAAAGGATTCACAAAAGGCGATGAATGTCGTATATTTGATTGATTACTGGTCCTTGTGTGTAAGGACACTCAATTGTTGCTGTGTTTATGTGGGTCATAATCACAACAGTAGTCCTGCACGGGACATGACAGTTGGAAGAGGTCATCGTACGGCGTCCGAAATTCCCATTCCGTCGTCCCGTGAACTCCGGAGTCTGAGAAGAGTTTTCGTCTGATAGAAGTTTAGCACCGACAGCACGGACCACCATGGCGGAAAACATGAGAGTAGCGGTCCGTGTGAGACCATTTATATCCTTTTGTTTTGAATGAACGGACACATGAGAGTCGACACGAGACTAAACGGTATTTCACTATGTGTGATTGCAACCAATTTACGACCGGCTCGTGATGTTTTGGCATCAAGCGTAAATTCAATTTGGTATGCCTGGCGTACGTAAATTCCATTAACACTAACGTTTATTTTGTTGAGATTGTCATAAATTGAAATACTATTTTTTACCTTTTAATACTAGTACGTAGATTTACGGTATTAAAAGTAACCTTGGTGAACTTTACAGTGTTACAAAATTGTTATAGAACTGGGGGTCCATTGTATATCAGAACCCTGCCAGTGGTGTACATCTTGGTTTGTTTGTTCAACATGTAACCCTAATCCCTGTATCAACTATGTAGTGTAGACAAAGCTCTACTGGTTATCACTATAAAATACAGCACAATTTAATTTCTAAATAATTTTCTGAAATTTGGAATTTAAAACTGGTATCACAAATAATTTTGTCATGTGTTTTCTGTAAATAGAGTTTTCTTGATAGTGTATATTTTATTTAGCATAAAAAACTGAAGAATGTATAACTTGGTGATACATTTTCTATGGCTGATGTAACAAAAACAACTACATTTTTAAAAAAACAAATTTTGGTCACATTATTAAAAATATGAATGTTATTGATTTTTATTCAGGTAATAATAAATATACAATAATTAAACAAAAATTGAAAATCATCTCATGAAGAATCAAACACTTTTAGGATAATTTTATCATAAAATAAACAAAAAATTGTGCATCAATTTTGTAAAATGAAAAAAATTAACCAGAAAATTGTTCTGGGTCTATTAATTTTGAAATATTTCTCCATAACATTTCCTACAATGATCGTGAGAAGAATCGTAATGCGATGTGTATAGTGAAAATGTTTGATAAAACAACAGAGCTGACCAATCCGGAGGCTCCCAATGATGAACCTAAACGATTCGCTTATGATTTTTCATATTGGTCACATGACGGCTTCCAAGAAAGGCCATTGGATCAGTATTTAGAAGGAATTGACGAAAAATATGTAGATCAGGTAAGTAGCACTAATCACAGTCCCTCCACAGTGGAGAAACTGTACATTAATTAGTGAGTGGGTCAAAAAGTGTTTGATTTTTGCGATATATGTGTTATCGATTATTACTGATTTTGCGATAGACTTCATTGAGTTTTGAGTAATTTAGTGAGTGGGTCAAAAGAATGTTTGTTTGAAAATAACTGATAAATTTTAAAGAATAGATTACAAAAAATGTACTTAAAAAATATCAATACATGTAAATAATAGCCCAAACTCGGATCTTATTTTGATCAGATTGCCTAGGAGAGTATTAATGTAAATAAACACAATATGTTATGGTTTTAAATAGCCTTTGAATCAGTCCCTGTCAAACCAATATCAGTGATGTTGTGATTTCATGTTTGAGTCTATACGTGTCAGTGGTGATTTCTAACATAGATCCAACTACACTGGGTTGTTATTATAAAGAGCATTGCTATGATACACCGCTATTTTTTGTAAGAACCTAAAACACCTGCAGATTTTATAATCCGAATTGAAAGACCACCCATCTAGTTATATCAAAGAATTGTGGATGCAAGCGGCCTCTTTCAGGAATGATCAATTCCTTCTGTTCAATAATATATGGTGGTTTCGTAGCTAACATTTGTGATTTCAAATTAGGGTATATTAAAGTTTGAATATTTATTAAATATGGTAATTAGAATTTATTTATTGTAATTTAATGAATTTAATTAGAGCGATCTCAACATTATCAAGTTATATTTTTGTTACCAAGGAGGACTTAATTACCCAGGTACTCTAATTCACCTTTGCATACAGAAATTTAAATTAGTCAACATTAGAGAAAATATTATAGCTGTACTTAATTAAACCCATAAGTTTTGTTAACAATAGTGGAAAATTCACGAGCAACTTCAGATGAAAAAACAAATTATTATTAAACTTATTAGTAATAGTAAAAAAATTTAACTCATTACATTTTACTTTTATAATTAACATTATAATATCTTCTCTTTCTTTTTTATTTCATTATTATTATTATTATACTTTTATTGCTATTGTACTGATAGAAATACTGTATTTCTAAAGATGCAATAAATATTATTATTAGTATTATTATTATTATTATTATTATTAATGCGAAAATTTTTGATCTTATAGATTAAGCTAATTAATATCAACGATAACGTTGTCATTTTAGCAAAGAGTATTCAATGATTTGGGTTTAAAGATGTTGGAGAACGCTTGGAAAGGATATAACTGTTCCTTATTTGCATATGGACAAACAGGAAGTGGAAAATCCTACTCTGTAATGGGATACCAAGCAAATAAAGGTAATAATAGTAATTTCGTAATTGTTGTTTCACATTTTAATGCAAAGATATGTGCTCTATTAAAATACATGCTGGCTTTTTGTTTGTCAGGTTTCCTTCACCTCTGTCTGTATGAGCCAACATTGCACCAATCCCCACATGCCAACTATCACCTGACTGACCTAGATTGACCTGGAATTCTGACCTCTATATTTGTGGACATTTATTTATATTTCATAGCGCTATTTAGTATTAACTAATCTATCAACATCTGGTGTGGTCTGTTGGTGTGGTCCGTCAGCTCAAAGCTGACTAAACTGAAATTCACATCTCTGTATTAAAAATCTGACTGCATAATTGCATATATTTATTGTTTAATTGGACTGGCTAATTAGTAATAATGTGAGCAATTAAAAAGTGCAATAAAATCTTGATAATTTACTGAGAGAAAGATTCTGTCAAATAAATAAAAAGGGACAAATAAAAAAGAAGGTAGTGGAACTTGTTTCTAAGAAAACAATAATTTTGTTTTGAATTAGAAATTAGTCACCAGATTTTAAATTTTAAAGTTCTTGATTTTGGTGTTTCATTAGTATTTTACATATCTTTGAATTTGGTTGGTTCGCAATGAAAATTAATGTACGTTCCTATTCATAATCTTAATGTGTTTTATCAGGCATCGTTCCTATGATTTGTGAAGAATTATTCCGCGGGATTACAGAAAAACAACAAACTGCCGACACAGGAAGTGAAGATGATTTTCAGGTACACACCATAAAATCTAATGTTATACAAAAAACAAATTGCTGTATTTCTCACATGTGTTGCATTTATACATGTACAAACGGTGAACATTTGTTGACAAAACTTTCAAATCTTATTATGATGTAATCAAACTGATTTTTGTAGTTACTCATTAACAATTTATTTAGATGGTTATGCATGTACAAAGGTTTAATGTCATCAGTCCATTCTGTCTATATATATATATATATATTTGTCTATCTGTCTGTGTGTGAGTGATTATTACTCCGATATCATCATGCCAATTCATGGATTTGTTTAATGGATTAAAACACGTAAAAATGCTCAGAGTCATTGATCTATTCCTAGGAATATCAACACAACAATTACATAAAATTGTACAGTTATTTTGTGCAGAATTTAAAGATTGGACGTTTGAGATGCCAAATGTGCGTTTGTATAATTGTTACTAAATTGATTTGGTATACGAATATCGTCAAATTTCATTTACATAATTGTGTTTGTGTACAGGTGACGGTGAGCATGATTGAGATATACAACGAACAGGTCAAGGATTTATTGAACACGAAGACAACCCATAAAGGTGGACTAAAAGTCAGAGAACATCAAAGCAAAGGATTCTATGGTAAACATATTAACACATGATCTGGACTGGCCTGTGGTAAACCAGTTTAAACCAGTTCAAGTCAAATTAAAATTTTGCACTACTGAGCACATATGTGCAATGTATTATGGGACAGGACTTCTTATTGTACATGTGTATATAAGTATCATCCTGGAAACTGGCTAAATTATATGTCATTTTTTTAATAATTACTTTATTAATCAACAATTACCATCTGTGGGTAATGTATGGTACGAAAAATACTACAATAAAGAGAAAATTAAAATAATAATATATAAACAAAGATTACAAAACAACAAAAACGTTACTTTTTGTATATTGTTTGTTTAAGGTATTTAACTAGAGGAAAACTGTAGTTGCATATGTTTATTTGTTTGGCTATTATAATGTTCATAGTTTTGCAATAAATGAACTGAACTAATATGTGTTTTGAGTAGCTTACAATTGGTTCCTATGACAGAAACTAACTTATGCTACAAAAATGATATGTAGTGTTTAATAGTGGCTGTCACAAAAAATTGGAGAATTTTGAAAATTAGTGTAGGTTATCCATTGATTTCTAGGAAAATGATTGTTTTTTTAATATTCTTGAAAACACATCCTTTCTCCATAGAAACTTAATGCCGTGCACGTATGTGAATCATTACATCAATTTTTTTAAAAATCTACTGTGATAATTTTTTTTCTATGTTCATATGGTAGTGGACTATCTTAAAATTTGCAATTTCTATGAAATTTAAAGTGGTCAAATGAGAAGGACATTCATGATGATGAAATTTGTTGTAACAAGAAAAATAGTTCACTGCAAGAATATTTTGTGATTTTTGTTATTTTTTAAAGTCATGTATGTAGTCATTTATGCGACAGTATTCTGTTTGTTTAGTTGGTTGAAACTTTAGAAAAGCTCCAGCATTTGACAAAAAAAGCATTTTGGCAACAACAATTTTAGATCTGTTTTTTAACCTATAAATGCTTTTTCTTCACTGCAGTTGATTCTCTAAAAGTGTTTCCTGTGAATAGCTTTGCTGACATTGAAGGTAGGATGAATGAAGGGACTAGAAATAGAACCATTGCCGCGACTAATATGAATGCTACAAGCAGGTAAGTATATCATCAATATAAATATTGTAGCAATGTATGAATTATATTGCTCTGACAAGTGCTTCTTCAGTAGAAGATCGAATAATTACATTTACCATGTTTTCTTTATTAGAAGCTCACCTTTAGTGGGAGTGAATCTAAATAGAATGGTATTATACGTATACTGGATCATTAATATATATGACCAGAGGTACATTACTTGGGGTTTGCAGCGCGCATAGTACTGTTTGGTGACATCATGCCAAGATCCCATTCAAGTCTCGTAGATAGCGAGACTGATGCTATGAACTTCTGACATGACATAGGCGGTTTGTAATAAAACAACAAAACATGTAGGAAATATAGTTATCGTAATCCCTCATATCGTGAGCAGCTATTTTGATCCACCTGGACATCTTTTTTCTGAGTTGGAACGCTTATGCGAGAGCGAGATTGAAACAGGATCTTGGTATCATGTCACCGTAGTTGCAAAGCCCAAGTAATGTACCTCTGATATGACTTATTTTGAAAACGAACTCACCTCTGTAATTTCTGTAAATTCTACCAATAGAGCAAATACAGTATTACCTTTAAGTTTTTCTTGAGATCATCATAACTGTTGCTTATTCACTTCCCAGTCTGATTAAAATCAAATGTAGGTGTATGCTCCAAATATTAATTTCTAATTAATTTTGTTTTACTCAACGTTATTAAGTTTTTATTTAAAAATAATTACAAGTAAAGCCAGAAAAAATAATAATAAAAAAATATGACACCTACATTTTTAATCTGTCAATTGCATACATAATTATAAGATTTGGTTCCAAAATATAATGTTATAACGACAATAAACCATCTGAATTTTTGTGATTTGGTTTGAATAATTTTTTTAAGGGAGTCATTGAGCCTATATACAGTGAATGCTAATTGCTACAAAACTAACTTGTGAAATTTATATATAAAATTTATTCTCACAAAATCATTATTTATGCTTATTTTTATTATGTTACAGTCGAGCACACACAATCGTCACCATCACACTGGTTATGAAAAGAACTGAGGGAGGAAAGTCATTGGCAAAAACTTCTGTTTTAAATTTAGTAGATCTTGCTGGCAGGTAAATATTCTGGTACTACGTAATCTAATGTACCAGCACATTTTAAAAGTAGTGCATTCAAATTTAATATAAGCATACTTAAAAATGTTGCAATTCAGACAAAACCAACATTTATATAATATTTGCAGTGAGCGTGCTGACCAGACTGGTGCTACTGGTGACCGACTGAAGGAAGGTAGCATGATAAATCAGTCATTGACTACACTCGGCAACGTTATCAAGGCTCTTGCTGATACTGGATCAGGAAAGAAATCTGGCCATGGTAAGAATGAAAGTTGTGTTATGGGATATATGCTATTTTAGCTTTGCATCAACATATGAATAGTACGTGCCATATGTTACAACAACAATTGGATTGTAAGATATCCATGTCTACACATAATTACACATAGATTCGTGAGGTCCATACATATTTACTACATATTTACACATAGATCCATGTGGGTCGACGCATATTTACACATAGATCCATGGAGGTCTACACATATTTACACATAGATCCAATTGGGTCTACACATTTACACATAGATTCATGAGGTCCAGACATATTTACACATAGATCTATGTGGATCTACAAATATTTACACATAGATCCATGTGGGCCTGCACATATTTACATATAGATCCAATTGGGTCTACACATTTACACATAGATTCATGAGGTCCAGACATATTTACACATAGATCTATGTGGATCTACAAATATTTACACATAGATCCATGTGGGCCTGCACATATTTACATATAGATCCATGATTACATTTGGTTAATTAATAATAATTACACACAGATCCATTCATTTTCTATCTTGGTAGTTAGTGCATCATATTCTAACATTATCAATTTTCCTTCACCTTCACTTTCACCTATTTTTCAGCATTTCTGCACATCATTTCCAGGCTGCACTGCTAGTTCATATCATTTCCCTGGTGAGCTTCTTCAAGCATATTATAAAGTTGTATTCACTCCAATCTTTTTTTGAACATATGAAGTAAGTCATGCACTACTGTTTTGAATTTGGCTTCTGTGCATGCTAAACATAACTAACCTAACCAGTAACCAACCCACCATGCCTATAAGTTGGCAGTCCAACCCACCATGTCTATAAGTTGGCAGTTCAACCCACAATGCCTACAAGTTGGCAGTCCAACCCACCATGCTTATAAGTTGGCAGTCCAACCCACCATGCTTATAAGTTGGCAGTCCAACCCACCATGTCTATAAGTTGGCAGTCCAACCTACCATGTCTATAAGTTGGCAGTCCAACCTACCATGTCTATAAGTTGGCAGTCCAACCTACCATGTCTATAAGTTGGCAGTCCAACACACCATGTCTATAAGTTGGCAGTCCAACCCACCATGCCTATAAGTTGGCAGTCCAACCCACCATGTCTATAAGTTGGCAGTCCAATCCACCATACCTATTAGTTGGCAATTCAACCCACCATGTCTATAAGTTGGCAGTCCAACCCACCATGCCTATAAGTTGGCAGTCCAACCTACCATGTGTAAAAGTTGGCAGTCCAACCCACCATGTCTATAAGTTGAAAGTCCAACCCACCATGTCTATAAGTTGAAAGTCCAACCCACCATGCCTATAAGTTGGCAATCCAACCCACCATATCTATAAGTTGGCAGTCCAATCCACCATGCCTATAAGTTGGCAGTCCAACCTACCATGTGTAAAATTGGCAGTCCAACCCACCATGTCTATAAGTTGGCAGTCCAATCCACCATACCTATTAGTTGGCAATTCAACCCACCATGCCTATAAGTTGGCAGTCCAACCCACCATGCCTATAAGTTGGCAGTCCAACCTACCATGTGTAAAAGTTGGCAGTCCAACCCATCATGTCTATAAGTTGAAAGTCCAACCCACCATGTCTATAAGTTGGCAGTCCAACCCACCATGCCTATAAGTTGGCAATCCAACCCACCATATCTATAAGTTGGCAGTCCAATCCACCATGCCTATAAGTTGGCAGTCCAACCTACCATGTGTAAAATTGGCAGTCCAACCCACTGTGTCTTTAAGTTGGAAGTCCAACCCATCGTGCCTATAAGTTGGCAGTCCAACCTACCATGTCTATG